ACAATCCGAATCAGTTATATCCAGTTCGCATCCTCATAACTAGGGTTCGGATGTTCATGACCTAAAAAACCGAGAAATATGCAAGAAATTTTCTACAGAAATGTAACTTCTTCCTTAATTTTTTTCCTGTTATCCGAGCTCTTTGTAATCGGCACAACAAATATCAGATTATACATCAGATAACACGAATATCAATATATCGATGCAGTATCGATATTGGCGTATTCATTCCTTAAAACAAGGATGATATTTTAAAAGGGTCAAAATTCCAAGATGATGATGAGGGGGTTTTCTGTATCTTGGGAACTAAAAACAACAGAACAGCACAAATATGAAATTATTTGTTTCGGCAGAAACCCGAAAAAAAAATCGTGGGTTGGAGTCTCGGTGAAGATGTTGGATATGGGCGACCTTGATATTATTTGAGATTATCTTCGATGCAATTAAGTAGATAAAAGCTACTCTTAAATATTAAGTTACAAAGAATAATAAAATAATAACAGTTAATGGAACATTACATTTATATTTGTAAGCAATAAAAAAGTTCTTACTCGGCTAAGACCTGATTGTATGACCGTCTCCGTAAGCCTCCAAGAAACAGAACCGGGAACAAATTGTATTTTGCTGTTCGTTTTACTCAAATACAGTATAAATAAAACACGTCATTGGAAGTCTCAATTGAAAGTTGTTTATCTACATCACAGACATCTTGTTTATAAAAAATTCTTAAATTACGTATTACGAGAAATGTTGGCATGGACGTGTTCCATGAAAGTTTAATAGTCTCTAATGTAAGACTATAAACATATGATACAGGCCATCTTTTTTAGTCTCCTAGATGGCACGACAATTCATAAAGGCATGACTGCCATCTATTGACAACTCTGGTAACATCATTCCACTAATTTTGACTCCACTGAGTATGATAATTGTGTAAAAACTAAAAATTCTTCTATTTATTTTGTTCGGATAGTCCATTTTGTTTTCAGTGTGATTTTCAAACATATCGTTTTGTATCTGGATTCTTCACAAAGAGCGTCTTCGAAACAGAGCTAGTTTTCAATATGCAATGTTTTCGGTAATAAGATGTCCAAACACTCGCTATAATCCTTAACAAACTATCATGTGGATATAAGGGAAATAATATTGTATTATCTCATATCAGCCACGGTGGTCTAGCGGTTAGAACGCTGGCCTTGTAATCCTGGGGGTCTCGGGTTCGATTCCCGGCGGTGCCCGAATTTATAACTTGTGTTGGGCAAGGCCGTGGTCTAGGCAACACGGAGTTTTCCTCCGTGGCATCCCAACAATTACTCCATTCACACACAGAAGAAGGCAATGGCAAACCACTTCTGGATCATCTGCCAAGAACGTATATGAACAGGTCCCAGTCCGAGAAAAGGATGGAAGGATCCTGTTCATATGGACCTGTCGTCAGACAGAACACTAAATAATAATAATAATAATATCTCATATCTGGAGAGAAAACGGAACTAGGGAATTTAATGCTCCGTCAAAGTAAGTAACCTCATTAAAGATTATAGTAGCTATTTTAGGTCAAGAAGATCGTGTTGCAGACAAGGGGCTAAAATAGGCGAAGTGTGCAGCTGAAGACAGTAGAGGCAGCTGTTACAGTAATACCATACACACACAACCCCAACTCTAACGACGAGGATAAAATATGGCGACTGCTCCACCAACTCGACACCCCATTACTTCAACGAGCAGAAGAGATGGAAATAAATTCGCATCACTTTATCTATCGTCTATCTCAACATTTCTCCATCTTTCCATCTCTTTTATATTTTACTTCTTACTTGTGTCTTTTTATTTTCTTTTAGCTGAATTTTCGTATTACGATTCTCACTTGTTACAAGTGCTTCAAAGGTTGAACTTCTATTTGATTTCTTAGAAGGCAGTGGTAATTATGCGTATCAAATATTTTAATGATCAGTGACACAAACTTTATAGTCAGTTTGTAGAGTTTACGAAACCCATTTTCTTCAGTGAAACGATAACAGCTGAGTGTTAACAGGAATTGATTATGAATTTAATTTCCTTTATGGAAGATGACGAACACTGCTGGTTTAAGCAAGATGGGGCTAAGACACATATAGCAAATTCAACAATGCATGTTGAATAAGTTCTTTTGTAGTCTCAAATATTTCTCGAAATTTGGGCCCCTCTCAATCACCGGATCAGCCCTGATGATGGAAGTAACAATTACATCTGAAACACTGGTAAACTTCTACCGGACTATACGACACTACAACCCAGAATACAGCCATCTTAGACAAAGGTTTCTTTAAATAAAATCTAGACGGAAACTTCTGATAGATAAACAGGTACATTAAGACGTTGAGAATCCTGAAGTTACCTGGGTATTAGCGAGAATTCATGTTTTATTAACAGTTTATCAATCTCTTCACCATAATCCTGCACGCGGAACTTTATCCCATGCATACATTCTCAGTTCTAGGCGTGGATCGCGAACGGAGTCGAGAAGAGTCAATTCTTGAGGTCTTGAAGTCGAAATAGTTGACTGCAGGCAAACGCATGGCGCCATATACGAACAACTGTTAGTACCATTTACACTCGTCCTGATGAACACGAATGCGGCGTGTGGGTCCCATGGAGTTAATTAAAAGATGACGATTTATTTGTCTTGTAAGTAGTAACAATAAAATAAAACCTTTCTTTCTTTTTATGTAGATATCGCTTTATATAGTGTAGTTTCAAATGAAGGAAATATTATCGTTCATGTTTTTCCATAGTGCATAATATATAATGATACTAGTGCTGCCATCACACCACCATAACTACTACCACCACTAATAATAATAATAATAATAAAAATCATTTAATTCATTTATTAAAGTACATACTTATATGTAGAAGACGTACAGATACATTAACGGACAGACGGATAAATAAATAGACTGGGAGAAAGAGAGAGAGAGAGTAGATGGCTCGGCAGATGGACAGTTGAAGAAAATTACTTAACAATTAATTTTAATGCAGTTTAAACACCTGGTTTGTACCTGCCTCTTTAATAAAATTATGAATTTGATATAATAGGAAGGTGCTATGGAATTTTTACTTGTAACTTTTGGCAGACCCTGACAAAATGGTTGTGGCAGCTACACTGGCGATGGAGACGGACAAATTGAAATGCAATGTAGCACGGGCTCTTGGAAAACTATTTGTAACATAAACCAGTTGACCGTACAAATCCTTAGATGGCGATGACCGTGGAACATTCTCAACTCAACCCATTTTTCAGGCCTACTTCATCTCTCTTGAGAACGCAACGCCTCGGTGGCTTTACCACCTGGTACCATCCTCACAGTAAAACATCTTTTACTCCTACTTCAACACCGTCTAACACCCTCCAAACTTAAACATATAAAGTTCGTAACATTGTATTATGTGTTGAGACATGTAATATATTCTTTGCAAATGTTCCATCCTTCTTCAATGCCTACGCTCATAAGGTTTTTTTGTTATTGAAATATGCATGAGTTTCGATTCATATATAGAGCATACATATTGACGGAAGAATAAATGGGGTAGAAGGGTACAACGCATAAAAGTGTCCTAAGATCAGTTTATAACTTGTTATTTTAAGTGTAAGCCAAAGTTACACACTAAACACCACAACAGACAAGAACTAAGTCCAGTTCTTTAATACTGTAAGGATGCCATTTTGTACAAGAGTTCTGGCGGGTCGCTGTGTGGAGAAAATATACATATTATTGTGCTCAGATAAAGTATCGGTGAATCAAACAGTTGTGTCAGGCAAATGAGCAGTGTTTTCCTGAATGTGTATGAACAATTGCCATGTTTATTATCCTAAAAGTTTGTGTTTTATATCAGTTACACTTTTGTTATGTTTTAATTTTATTTTTTTAACTTGACGTACCGCAAAGAAAACCCAACATTTCACTGTTACAAAGATCAACTGGTTAAGGCTTTTTAAGGGAATAATCACAATTTATTCCGAGAATTATACAAAAAACTAAGCGCTCTTAAAGGTTAATCTTTTTATATATGTTCATTGAGTTCTTTTATTACGATAGAGACATTAATCTTTCTCTCGTCAGATATTCTGTTAGTTACCGATTCGGACGCCAGTTGGCTCTCTCCAAACGTCATGAACTTTAACGCTACTGGATTTTCTACCCGCTCACCATAAACAATCTAAATCTGTATTATAAATATGAAAGAAACGTAAATTGCTTTTAATTATCTTCATAACATATGTGCACGTAATGTTGACGCAACACAAATATTCATAAAACATATAAAGTTTAAAATATATGTGATATCACGGACAGTTAAGTTGTGCCACTTATGCTGTATGCTTGCCACTAAGCTGTTACAAGTTCAGATGACAGTTGCTTCATGTGGATGTCCTCGCAACCACAATGGTTGAGTGGGATTTAAGAAGCTTAGACTTAGCTTACTGAACTTTTAGAATTTCAACATACCATCTGGACTAATCATTTATTTACAATGCCAATACACATGGAACTTTCTAGAACAGTTAATCCATCCTGAAGATTAAGAAATGTTGAACATCGACTACGAATGCACTAGTAAACGTTAATGTGTAGTGATTAGTAATCTTTACTTTGTATACCGGAAGCCCAGAATAAGCTTTTCTGACCGAGGTTCCCCCAATGGGCCATCCATTTGCAAAATAATATATAAGTGAATATGGAGCGGCGCTGAAATTATACAGGTAGGTGAAAACCAAAGGCCTCGGAGGATAACCAATCCCACTGCCACTCTGTCCAACACAAATCCCACGTGGGCTGACCTTGGCACGAACACAGGACTCCGCAAATATCAATATACAGTGTTTTCCAACTGAATCCAACTTTGCATTTACTTTAATGAATCAGATGTTTGTAATTGTGTACGCACGGTAAAAGAATTGCTTGTTTCCTCATCAAAGGCTCAACATATACTCCGGGAAATTTTGTTAAGTTTCCAGATTACCATTTTATGACACTTTATATTAGCCATATATTATTGTTACATAAATTTTTATATACTTATGTGTTACTACAGTAATCAATATCCTAAAAAGGTACGCATTTCTCATTTATACCATTTTACATGCCTATTCTATGTTTATTAAATACAAATTATGACGCAATTATCATGAAATTTTCTTCTTCCTACATTATCTTCTTCCTCTTAGGTCCAAATATTATCCTTAGCACCCTGATATCAATTACCTTCAATATATGTTCCTTTCTTAATGTTGCAATCAGTTATATGCGATCTGAGGTTTTGCGGGCATTAAATTTAATAAAGTCTTCAAGGGAAATCAACCGTTTCAGGCGATCGCAAAAACCACATTTTCGAGAGTCGTTACCATCATAAGGGATCTGAAATGTCGCAAGAAATTAAATTAGAAACATAAACTTCATTATCGTGTGCCCGCCAATGGTCCATAACCTGAGCTAGATTAATCCAATCCATACCTTTCAATACGCCCAGGCAGGATCCAGTGGAGGGCTTTTGTTAATTCGATGATGAACTTTCGGGTTCGGTAAGCCATCTAGTTAGTTAGTTAGTTATACCTTTCAATATAATTTCCTCAAGATTTATTTTAATATTATCTTCCCATCTGTACCAAATTTTCCAAGTGAAGTCTTCTCTTCACAAATTCCAACCAAAATTTTCAATCACCCAACGAAATTAATTTGGTAGGCCTATCATCTTAATTTAACTTACTGGGTTAGGTTTAAAAGTTGGATAGGGACTTTCATACCAATCACGAAAGAGTAAAAGACAAAATCAAACATAAGTTCAAAGGGATAGGAGTTGTGTACAGTAGCATTATCCATGCACTGTATATGAAAGGTTTATGACTGAACTGAGTGCTTAAGACACAAAGAACAGCCGATACAATGCTGTCATCAAACTCCAGCGTGGCATTGTCAGTACGAAAGTGACACAAGTCTTGTCCTCGATCCATACAAATTTTGGGCTTATGACGTATTTTACACGTGTATAATCAATTCCGATGTTTTAAAATCCAAATTCAGATATATATATATATATGACTAGAAGTGTCTAAAACTTATTTTGATGTCGAACAAGGGAAATCACTGTCACTTTGTTGTTCATTTGTTTTAAAATCCAATACTGAATAATCGAAAAAGGCATGCTATAAACATTTTCTTTTATACTGTTCATGACGTATAAATTATATGGAATTAAGTATTAAATTTATTATATTTTACGTACAAGAAGAAAGGCGTGTTTAGAATTTGTACCTATGATTTAAACGTTATTCTGTTTCCTTAATTAAAACGGTTATCTCGATTAGTCGAAGAAGTTCGAAAGTGTCACTGCTAATCCCATTGGGCAGAGCCCTTCTTGAGAAATCGATCAACTAGTTAAGAAATTCAAAGCCTTTTATAGAACACGAAAGTTTTTTTTTCACATTAGCAAAATCCTGTCACAGGACTCTGCTCCTGAGCTAAAAATATATTTAGTATCCATTTTAATATTATCCTTCCATCTATATTTACCTAAAGTAATAATTATGTTCCGGTTGTTGAAAGTATTTGTGTCACTGTTGCCTGCCAATAGGCACAAAGGACGAGTTTTTTCCTCTTCTAACTCAACAGCTGATCGATACGTCGAGTTCTGTACGTAATCCGTTAGAGTGTAACAACTCTTACCATGTAAGTTTAAATCTATTTACATCAGTATCAAGTGAACTACTGAATATCTTTATTTAAAACAAGATTCCGTGACACTGTTCCTGAAATGGTTATCAGAGAATGTGTTAGACACGCGGTAATCATTGTAACCTACTACCGAGACCCTGTTTTTATTTAAGCTAATAATTACTCCTTAATTTTTCTCAATTAATCCGCGTGTCGAATAGTTAGGTCACGTGGTGTAGTGATTAGCATACAAGGTCGAATATTGTAGTGAAATGGATCAACCAATAAAAAGCGAAGCTTTCGCTGCCACTGAAGTTGATGAAGGACTCTCGGGCAGCTGCCCTGAGGATGACAGCAGAGATGGCTCTCGAAACGTTGACAGAAGAAATGGTTAATTTACCATTCAGCCACCTGACGTGGCTTGTTGCCCGAGAGTTTTGTATCAACCAGAGTCAGAGACATTTAAAAAACGGGTCGGCAACATTTTCATTGCCGTGGGCCGCATTAAATATTTATATCTTTGTTAAGGGCAGCATAGAAAACTTAAAAATGTCCTTGGCATTGAGTGAAACTATATATAACCAACTTAAAAAGAGTTAGTGGAGTCTGTTGAACAACGATAACACCTGTATTATTACATACAATTTATTTTATTTCAAAGACGTCGTTAGCTTTGTTAAATTTTAATTTAATTATTAATACCGTATAAATTTGAATACTGTTTTGTTCAGTATCATATTTATATCGATATTCCTCATTAGCAGAACTTTTTTCCCTTCTAGCTTTAGAGGAATAATTCACTACTAATCGATAAATCTCGAATACAATACAGATATCGATTTCAGTTGATGATATTTGTTAATTAACACTGTGAAAGAATTACCTGGACATTTGCATGCCAGTAAACACCACCATATCATAAAATAAAAGGTCGTTAAGAAGGACTTGAGATTTATATCTCAAATCAATCGAAAATCGAGTAGTATCATAAAAATCGTAGGACAAAATATATGACCACAATCGATATAAAACCCGTGCCACTTTGTTATAACCTCGAAATTTTACATTCATCTTAGAACATGGATTAGGGATATAAGTATTCCATACATAATTAGTTGATGTGTTTGTGTGAAGAATATACCTAAAGGTAAGTTGCATATTTTATGAACATGTGTCACCATGTGAAACATAGGGGCTCAAAAATGAATGGCGCAAGTTTTTTAGTTTAGAATTTCGACGGGCACCATGTTAGTATCAACATGTGATGGCCTCAGATTTAATGTTATTCAAATCAAATTTAATAAAAATCGAAACTCATATTAACAATTTGTGTGGATCCATCATTCATCATCGGATTTAAACACTTTCAAGGGCTGAAATCAGTATTCAAAACGTTTGAGTTATTTTAATGAGATTTGTAAGCCTCATAGTTTAGGTGAAATAAAGCATTCAACTTAGTAATCACATTTTCGAACACGCTGTAGATTTCAAAATAATCATTTTTTTTACGGAATCACAAATTATTCTCTCTTCAGGACAAACTACTACAAATCTATCTGCGTAAAAGTAAACTATATGTTGTCAAGAGGTTTATGGAATTCTAGGATAATCTAAGAAAGAAGGTCTTTCATCGGTTACGTATTCCCACATGGGGGTTTAAAGGCAAGGCGTGGGGTTACATATGAAAAGTGTAACATTTTAAGGTGAAAAAGTTGACACACGACAAAACAAGAAGTCGGCGTCGGTCCAACAAATACACGCGAGGAAGATACTTCTAACGTAATGTTTCACGTCCGTCCAATGTCGTCATTGGTACCATTTAGTATCCCAAGAGAATGGTCTTCGTCTACTACAAGCACGGAAAAGACACACAAAAGAATAAGTGACAGGTCAGAAAAATACAAGAATGACGCTACTGCGTGGACATATTCGCAGTTTAATGGAATACTTAGAATATCCTACATTTTGTATCCTGTGCAGTTTTAAAGAATACAAAACTAAATTTTGTAAACTTCAGTCTTTTAATTGCATTCGTATGTAATTGGCATGATGGAGTATTTATTAAACAAAATACATCATAATTCTAAAACATTTATAAGAGTGAAATTTTTGAAGAAATACTTCATAAAACTATAAACACATTTATGTTATTACTATTTAAATTTTTTTTTGCAATATTGCAGATGGAGGCAGTACGCCCCTCAAATTCTACGAGACTACTGGGCGCAATATTCCAAAATACTATCGAATTCAGAGTACAGTGAGCCATTACTTTACGACGATTCGCATTGCGATATATCGTTTAGCGCTCATATGAACTTTTGTAACGTCATCCGAACGCGAAGTCTGTCATCCGATGTCTTCCGAAGAAAATCGAACAAGTGACTAAGGATAAAGCAATGTCGCTGTCAGCCAATGCAATCAGGTGAAATACAGGAAGTAGTTCGTCTTATGTTCTGCTTTGGTATGCTTGTCGTCAAAAACTTTGCTGTTTTAAAATTTATGTTGTTTATGTCCTATAAATAATCTCAATAAAAATGTTGATTTATGTTATATTTCGTCATTTTTCATTCGTTTGTAAACGTTAACTCCCAATTATAACACTGCGCTTGTGGAAAATGACGATGGTTTAAGTACTATGTCCAGGAACATAACTAATTTTAAGATCGGGGATTATATGTTCTGAGGTTAAAATTTGCGCACGAAAGTGAGGTTAATTAAGAGGAAATGCAGAACTAGGAACTTTAAACTCTATAAATTCGTATTCTAGTATCACTGCTGGAAATAATCTAGAAGTTTTAAGTGGACTGCAAATGTATGCGAAACAAAAAGAATTCACAAAATATTTTATTTCAATGAGAGGAATTCTCTACGCCACAATTTTGTTGTCACTGACCTACCGTAAATAAAATACAGACTTTCACAGAACACAATTCGAAATTTATAAAAGATTTAGCGTTAGATACTAAGAATAAAGAATGTAACATATGTGCAAGTCATTCCACGCAATGACATCCTAAAGACGAATAAATTATAAAGGACATGGTTACCTTTAATTTTCTTTTTTATGAGCTTTGTTGTTCGATTTAAGTATCCTGTAAGGGGCATTTTTATGGTCATGCCAAAGAAACGCCCGTCCATAAAATTACCTCTGTTTTCGACCATGGAAATTCTAATCATGTTTTATGAAAGCATTCATTGGTCTATCGTTGAAGTCCATTATTCAGTACTTGGCCTGTTTTAAACGTATTTGCCAACCTACTGCTCTCTAAAAGACACAACATAACGTATTTTCCAACTGGACCACTGGTAGGTCGGATGGCGGCGGATATTTGAAGACGCTACCTTCAGGGAGATGCAGTTTGTCTCTTGGGAAATGTCCTACGTTTCCACGGTACGTCTGATGCCTTGACGGTTTCTTTAACCTTTGAGAATTGTTATTTGCCGTCTTACATAGATGAAGTCGCCTGGGACAATTCAAAGTACAGGTTGGGGAATTCAGTAGCGAAATACATCTATGAACTGAATGACTTTTTAATTAATTTAAGTTACTAAAAGTACTGTCTGATAAAAATAATTAATATAAAGGTCTGGTAAGAATTTGATACCACAGCTGCTATAAATACTTAATTTATAACCTGTGGTTAGCTAGCGGAGTGGCCCGAGGGTTAATGTCACGAAAAATAAAAGACGAAACGCTTTAATTTTGAAAATTGAAAATGTTCACATTTTATTGGAAAATAAAAGTGTTATTATTTATTTAACGTTCTTCCATTCACAAAATTTAATAAAATAAAAATATTCTGAAAAATAATGCATAAAGCGATTTATCGATTTATCTCTATTCTGAGCCATGACACAAAACAATGCGAGATGTCAAATTATTTCTTTCTCCGAACCTGATTTTATTTTGAACGTGTTGATTAACAGGTTAATTTTCTGTGTTGAGAATTTACGTTTGTGCAATACTGATAATTATAAACATTAAAGTGTATTTTACAGTGAAACAAATATCATTACGAATATAAAGTTTTCAGAACAGGGATTACAGAGATTTACCATTACGTAAACCACAGATGGAAGGAAGGGTTAATAATTTACCACGACTCTCAAACATTATGGAATAGGGAATATATTCGATTCTTCTCGAACTTAAGTTAAAATCGAGATGAGAAAATAGTGTTTTTACCTGATGAAAATAAATGACGCGCTGTGTCCGTGCGTCTGCTACTTGTATGCTACTTTAACGAGTCCCAAGAGACTGTAAGGTCAGACATGAAGAAATAGTGAGGTTCCACCGTGACCTGCAAGATAAGATAACAATAATTGTCAAACATAAGTGGTACAGTTAGCTTCAGGGACTGTGTTCAGTTCCCTGATGAACGGGTAATAACGATTATAATTACCATCCTTGTTCCACGTGACCCTTGTGTCTTACTGGACAGCAATGCTGTTTCAGGAGATAAGAAATATAATAGTATTTCGTGATGGCAATTCTCAATAGCTTCAAATGACTATCTGTATGCAAAATAGTCTATACCACCAGGAAATTACTAGCTTAACATATCGTATCTTTATTTATTTAAACGTATATAAAGGAATATTAATAAATACGATAATACTGGAAAAGAAATTCATTTTGAATTTAGTTTTAGTTTACCCCATAACCTTTTTAAATTCAAATCTAAAGGTAATTGCAATTCAGGCCGAATGCCTACGAGTGAACTGCTTTTGTTATAATTTGAAAAAGGCCTAGATAATAAACGCAAATATGATTAACAACGACTGAAAATACAGTAAAATTTACAGTGATCGGGGCAAATATGTGCGTTTGGCATCGGCTAGAAGTGAAGGACAAGGGAATCAGAGGTGTAAGGGGTAGCAGATGAGGAAGCATATACTGTCAATACTAGAAACATCTTCCCAACAAAGCGGTCACGAGGATGGGCAAAGTTCGACAGCTACCTCGAGCGTTGCAGGGTTGGGGGCGCTGCGACTAATAATATTTTTAAATCAGTAAATTCCTTACTTTGTGAAAAAATTGTTACGGTATTTGAATTTTCTGGTATAAATCTGACGGCCAAATACTTTCCTTTGACAGCTTTCCTCTACGTGTAGCATTGGGTATGATATTTAAAAAACACACGCGATTATGAGGAATATTAAAAATGCAGTCTACAGAATTAAACAATGAACATTTTATTTTCGTGTTTAAACGCTATTAATTTATGCATACCCCACATTTCACATGTTTTTACGCTATATATTTTTGTTATATTACATATTTCGATTGAAACTCAGTGAACATCATATCTGTAAATTATACATAACTTGGTACAGGATTTAATAAATTTTAAAATATGTTTTTTCTAAAATCTTTGATAAAACAATATATCCTTTTATGGACGATATTTTATTCCGTACCAATGATATATTTTAGTTATTAAATTGCTTTTAGAGCTATTGTGTGTGTATAGAATCAGATTGTGTTTGCACGATATCACAGCAATATTTATTTGCTATGAGGTTCTTGGTTTCATTTGTATAGTGTATCTTACCTGTACTATACTGTGTTGATCGCCACGTGTTTCGTCGAGGACTTCAGCACTGTGCATAGTTTTATTTCCTGTGTGTTTCATTTGATAAGCGAAGGGTGGAGAAAAGAAGAGGGGATGCTATTTAAGTGCTGCTATCTATACGGAAACATTTTAATACATTTTAAATATTTGGTTATTAAGTTCTACATTAAAGTCATCCATTTGTATATAATCGTCACTAATTCGGAATATATATATATATATTTCTAAATTATTTCAGAACACCCATCCCCATATTTTACTCTTTCCATGATATCCGTAATACCATTCATGTTGCCATACTTATCCTTTGTATTTTATAAACAGGATAATCTGAAATTCACGAAACTCATGTTAAAATATTTATTAATGTTTACAATGCAATATAATTCAATTGAATTAACAAATGTAAATATACATGTGACTACACGAAATTCCATTCAAATTACATGTTATAACCTGAACGCAAATACGTCAGTTGTCTTTCAACACTTGAAGTGTAAGGATGTATTTTTCAACAGTGTGAATAGTATTCATTGTTGAACACTACCTGGCATATCTCAGGGAAATATTTCCCAATTCTTGTGTGCCACACCAATCTACAAACTACAGTTTGGTAAACAAAATTTGACACAAGAACTTTACACCGGGATTCATAAAAGACAAGAAAAATTGTGAATGCATATATTTCTTAAAACTGTGGGAATTTCTAACACTTAGATTTGTTTCTTGTTTCTTAAATTCAATTTAATTTATTATTTACAAACAGAATGAATCTTTTGCGTGACGTTTTGAACACCCTGTATAATGCGGGTGTCAAGTGTTATGCCAATTGTTGTGCATGGTTTAAACATGCTCATTGAATATATTTTTAACGATTAGCACAACATTGTGCGAGTACAGTGCATCATATAAATAAAAATAAAAACTTTGTATTATACAAAGGTTACCCTATCATACAAATCTGTTTTTCTGATAAGCACATCTATTCATAAACAAATGAATAACTAAAATACACCAATAATAATACAGAATATGAAATACAAACGTAGTACTGGATAATGACTGATAGTTATGAAAGTAAACTGTGAGATTTTGCGTTGATTTGGATCGCTTTCGAGGCTTTTCATATAAATATTTGGATCGCATAACAAGAAATTTTATAAACGAGCAAAAACTCTTGTCTGTTAAGGGAACAGTAATCTTCTCTCGCACTAGTAACAAAGGAGGAGAATGAACTCCTATCCTACACATTTGTATACTGAAAATACTGCTGTTAGACGTAATTTTCTCGCCGTGAGATTACAGTCATCTACATTCCAGCTAAGAGAATATTCTTCTTTAAGGCAAAGTAGGTTCGTTGAAAATTCCACTCGCTCTATGTGACAGGCATGAAACCATAATTTAGCCAGGGTGTTGGTCAACTTATGTTGTAGAATATAGGAGGGAGAGAAGGCTAAGCAATTCTATCAACAATAGTACATGTACCATCCTCCTGTTTCTCAAACTTTCATCATTAGGATGAGTTAACGCTTATAAACTGTAGTTAGTGCTCTGCTGTTGGGACTGACTTGTTTCAACCTCTGTAATACACACTAGTGAGTGGTACTGTTGCTTTGTTTTCATTTATAGCGTTGTAGCGAACTCTGAACATCTTGTAACGAAATTAATAAATCTTAAAATAAAATAATGTTTACACAGAATTAATTTATAGATAAAATAAAGTCCAAAGTTAAACATGTTTTCATTTCAATGTGTTTCCGTCTTAATTTTCAATGTAACTCTTTCAATGTACCACCTACTTTAACAATAATTAACTCTTTAATTTATATTTATATTTTTATAAGATTGTCAGTGTAAACAGGGATTATTTCCTTAAACAGCGTTAATGAGTTAATCTTTGTAATGGTGAAGAGTTGTGTTTTCTTTGCGGTACGAGCTGAGTTCTTAATTAACATTTAAAATGAACTTTGGCTTCAAAGGTTAAGCATACAATTATTATTACAATCATGTTCTTCGTCTTCTTTAAATTACTGTTAAGTTAAACAGCCCTTAGGACACAGATATTTCTCTACAATTTATATCTCAAGAGACTCCATGTATATCTGGGTCTGTATAACGAAGTTTGCCGTCCACGATACATTTTCTATAATGGTTAATAATTTTGCTGTACATCAATCAATTCAATTATATTCAGAATATAGATTATGCTGTCATGTCTAAAGTGTCAAGACAGTGATATTCTCAGTACACGATGTAGAAGATTTAACTGGTGATTGTACTCAAAATTCTTAGTAATGACACTACATGAAAGAAATGATGTTTCTTACTTGTACTGCTATCATTAGGCAGCGTTTAGAAATGTTTTAATATGGGTGACAAAATGTTGAAATATCAGTCTTGCGAGAGGTATGTGATAAATACATAAGAAATATGTTGAAAAGGAGAAAAGAGGGCATGGGAAAAGAATACAAAATAAAAAATTCCCCGTTGAATTTAAACGGGACATTTTCCATTTATTTATTTATAATTCTTCAGGTATAGTATTCAGTGTTATATTTTAGATTTAAATGAGGCAAAGCTGAAAATTGTTACTAATTCTGTTAGATCTTATAAGTCTACAAGGTGCCTAAACTCACATAACATTATCATCAATCTCCTTAATTTGTCTTACAAACTTCTAATTACTGTTCAATTTGATCTATCATAAAAGTTAACTTCTTTATTTTTAGTCGCATAGAATGTCAGAAAAGAGATTAAAATCTTGCTAAAAATAAAAACTGTAGTAAGCTGTTTAAGAATGTTTAATTTTATTAATAAATTACGTAGAACAAATCATGGATCTTTATAAACGCACTTTGGTACAAAGGAAGTACTGCTAAGTTATATATGGTAGTTTCTTTTCGCTGTACGTTCAATTCTGCAACATGTTTTTAGTAATTCTATTGTCTAAGAAGCATTAAACCAGAATAGTTTGGAGAGGGGGAATCAACCATTGTACTGTTGACTTATAAATTATATTATTTTGCATATATATTGTTTATGTTTGGGTATGTGTGTAAAAATAGAAATATGCTCTACGTATATGTGTACGCAAGATGGGGGTTGAATTTGGTCAAGATATGTCAGTGTTTCTATCGGTTGCGAAATGGTAATAAAATATTTTAACCTTCTAGGATTTGAGAGTATGTTTGTGTATATAGTGTGAGAGTACCTTGAAAAAAAGCGTATTATGAAACACATAAAACAATTCACTGAGGAGGATTTTAGGTTCTCACAGCAGTAACAAGATGGCTGTCTTCTGGGTTGTAGCGCCGTGTAGTCTGGTAAAAGTTTAACAAAATTTCACTGAGACGTCAAGATCGAAATACCGAATCAACTTTGAACCGTCTCTGAGTGTACTTGTTATCGACAGTTTTGTACAGTAGCTTCAAAATAAGAGCACAAAAGTGAACCCTGGAAAACAAAAGCAGGAAAAAAGTTACGGGTCTTAGATGCAGTTCAGTCAACTTTGTTGATGAACATGATAAAAAACTGAGGTTATCATGACTTGCGTCACACATGCACCGAATAGCTTCGCTACTTGTTTAAAGCGTCAAAAGTTTCGGTTTGTTGAAACGGTTTCGGGAGTTGGAGAGGGGCGGAGGTAATAGTGTTATAGGTTACGTCAAGCTTTCGATCTGGTTTTGGCGAGATTAGAAGGTCGTGGGATCTATCCTGGAGATCAAAAGCCTAAATGTTCTCAGAGGATGTTTTTCTTCTCTGTGGACCAAAGATTCATAAAAGACAACAGACAATCTACCTGCCTGTGATGCGTATGTTACGATACTAGAGTTGCCTGCAGGAACAATACAGCTGAGTATGAAATTCTTAATACAAGACCCATCACCAAAGTTCGTTCTTGTAGCTCGTTCGTTAACTTATTTCCCGGAAAGTCTTATAGATTACAAGCATCCTGAAATGAATATCAAATACACAGATAAAAACAAGAAAGTTAAGTGAATGCCAACGTCTTAAAAATGTGAATTAAAAATCATGGGCCACGAAAAATAGTAACTTGAAACTGTTTTTTGTTGAAATAAAGTTATTATTCTAACTTTGTTCTTGCAGTATATTTTCTATAAGACTGAGTTCAAATTTTAATGTTAATGCATGGCATGGAGGGAAAATTTTACAAACATATAACGTTACACAATGTGGAGGTTCATAATTTAAAACAGGTTAGTATTGATTTAGTATTAGTATCGATTATAATTGAAAATGCAGTGAAATTACAAGACTGCGATGATTCGGACATTAAAGTTTGATGAAACAAAAAAACATACACAATTGTGGTGAGGAAATCTGTCGGAAAATTTCGATTTCAATACCGAGAAGGTGGTGGAACAGTAAAATTAAAGATTATTATGTTGAATGTGGAGGAATTACCTCAGAACCGTGCCATTGACAAGCTTTGGTATTATTGGTGTTGAATTATCGGGGCCAGTTACCAAAATTTTGGTTAGAAAAAGATATGAGTGGTATAATGGTTGATGACATCGAAAACACATAGACCGTACACGTCAATATATCGATACAGCGTCATTAAATAAAACGGGAAACAATTTTCACTGTAACTTTTATCGCAAAACGACATCACGCCTACAAAAGTTTGTTTAGACTACATGCGCAGCACAGCTGTCGGAGAAGTTGCCGTAACAACACGGCGACTAAGTATTTGCAGACTCAAATGTGATGTTATCTGTTAAGACATACCCGAACGCAACCTAACCTAACCTAACCAAAATCCTAAAAGCGACAGGAAGCTGTAGTTTTGCCTAGGATAAAGTAGTTTGGGCGGATTTAGATATTTCCATACGTCCGTCAAAATATCGCTCGAAATGAAGTCTTTTCTGCTCTGATAATTAAAATCGAATGTAAAATGACCTGACCGAAAAATAAAGCGAAATCATTAACACATCGTCTTTTCGACTACGTGCCAAAGTTTACAGATACAGTGAAACTATGTTGACTTCTTTTCTTCTCGATCTGTGTCGCAGAAGGTACTTTTCCTTGTGACACCATGCAGTAATGACGAACGCTTTTATCTTGTCCCTGCAATATTCAACAGGTCGCCA